AAATAAATAATATATATTAATTAAAATTTTCTTTAAATAATAATAAAACAAAAGATAATAATAACAAAAAGACAAAAAAAACATAAAAAACATAAAAAACAATCATAATTAAACCTAACATAAGAATATTATTAATAATAGATCCCTTCCAATTCTAAAATAACATAAGTAGTCAGGAAATGTTAGATGCTTTTAGTCACCGTACAATATATATGACGTCATTAAGGCCTTGAATATCAATAATATAATGATGTATATTGCATTAAATGTTGCTGAATAAGATTAGGTGGCTGAATGGGATTTGATTAGAGTTGCTTCTACTTCTCCAGCAAGAGTTTTTCTTCAATAATTAATTACATCTCCAAATTCTAAAACCTTTTAAGCCACTCCCCACAAATTACAATTATACCCTTTATAGCTATATTTTGTAATAAAAACAAATATTAAAAAGATAATCAATATCTTTTATTATTTTTTTAGTAAGTTTTTTTTAAATATTAAATTTTACTATAATTTAAAATTATGACTTACTTTTTATAATTTTGAAAGCGTGACTCTTTTTCTATTTATTACCGGTATTGCTGACGTTTTCTGAAACAGTAAAGTCGGTCATAAAATATTGATTTGATAAAATTAAACGGGTTCAAACTTCTGTTACAAAATTATTATGCTCACTTTTTTCTAAAAGGTCTCATTTTAAAGGCTAAGTTTTCGGACACTTTTCCATTAATCGTACATTCAACTTTTTTAAAGATCATTGAGAATTTTACTGATTCTTATCTTCAAAACCCAGAAATGTATACAAACTAGATCGGACGATAACAGTTAATAAGATTAAGACATGTAAAAACTTTCCACGTCTATTATAATAATAAAAAATACGATAAATGTTTATAAAAAATATAATTTTAATGACAAAATAATGCTTTTTTACACAAATAATAGAAATTTTAAATCTAAAAAATTGACAAATTTTCTAGACGAGGTACACGTTATTGGTACATTTGTGGACTCTTTTTAAGAAAAAAAAAAAGATAATTTTGGAAGATAAATACCCAACAAATTGATTTTAAGTTTTAACAATCTGACATAACGGTATGTGAGTCTTTAGCCTACTAGAAAGTCAAGGGTTTAAATCTCACCAAAGATAAAAATGGTGTGTGAGTTTATTTGTTCTATTGACTTCACGATATGTGAGTCTTTAACATCCTAGAAGATCAAGGGTTCAAACCTCACCAAAAATAAGAAGGATGCGTGAGTTTATTTGTTCTATTTATTATATATAAAATATTATATACTTCAAAACAAAATTGATTTTAACATTAAAGTAACCCAAAAAATAAGGCTAAAAATGGAATATGTAACTAAAAATCAGAAAGTGCACAACAAAGAAACCAATACCATTTGTCGCCTTTCCCCCATTTGCATCCCCAATAACGTGTATACCATCCTCTTTTTTATTAACCTGGATATTCAACCCGTTATATGAGCCGATTAATCCCAGGACGACCACCTGCTTTGCAAATAGTCCAGAGTCACCGTATTTAAACCTCCGTAGCCACAAGGGGATTTTTATCCCTCCTTGAATTTAAACCTGGGACCTCCAAGTTCTTTTTGACCTTTGGAGCCGAGCTCAAACCAATCGGACACCACCCTTATGGTTTACCATCCATATTTTTCCATTGCAACCGGAAAAAAATAGAGCTTGTGACAATACTTCCCCCTCCCCCTCTTTCAATTCCTTCACTCAATCTCCATTCACTCACCATTTGAATTGATTGTTATCAGTGGTACACATTTTTGGTAATTTCAACATCATACACATTCTTGTGTCTCATCTTTCTCCATTATTGTTGTTCATCTCCATAAGAAACCTTTCATCCACTCTGATCAACTTGTATTCCATTTCAAGATCAATCTTGCACTCTTCTGAAACCACTACCTCTATATAACCCACCCTCCACCTCTCCAACTTTCATCATCTTTAGCCAAACCCCAAAACAGAATCATCAAGAGTTCACAACATCAATGGCAATCACCAAGTTTCTTTTGCTTTCTCTGTCTTTATCTTTGGTTTTAGGTGTGTCTTGGAGCTTTGATTTCCATGAAAAGGAGCTGGAAACAGACGATAGCTTGTGGGAGATGTACGAGCGGTGGAGGAGCCACCACAAGGTGGCGGCAAGCCACCAAGAGAAGCAGAGACGGTTCAATGTGTTCAAGTCCAATGCACTACATGTGCATGAAACCAACAAGATGAACAAGCCTTATAAGTTGAAGCTTAACAAGTTTGCTGACATGACTAGCCACGAGTTCAGGATCACGTTCGCGGGATCCAAGATCAAGCATCATAGAATGCTTCAAGGGGACCGAATTGGCAACAAGACTTTCATGTATGCAAATGTCGATACTGTCCCTACTTCCGTTGACTGGAGAAAGAAAGGGGCCGTTACCCCTGTCAAGGATCAAGGCCAATGCGGTAAATCTTCAAATCTTAGATGTGCTTCTTGTACTAATAGTTGTCAGTACTGCGATCTATGTTTTTCTTGCTTGTTTCCTTTAATGTTTGTTTTGCAAGCTAGTATCTTCACGGAAACAGCCTCTCTACCCTCTGAAGTAGAGGCAAGGTTTGCATACATCTTTACCCCAAGCCCTATATATGCATGGGGTTTATTGGGTTTGTTTGGTTTTAAAAAGACTACAATGGAGCATGCATCAAGTACAATCTTTTATCAGTATGAAACTTTTCATCTCTTTGCATTACAGGGAGTTGTTGGGCATTTTCAACTGTGGTGGCAATAGAAGGAATAAACCAGATCAAAACCAAGGAGCTAGTGTCATTATCAGAGCAAGAACTTATCGATTGCGACAACAGAGAAAACCAAGGATGCAACGGAGGCCTAATGGATTTGGCGTTCGATTTCATCAAGAAGGTAGGAGGTCTAACTAAGGAAGACAGCTACCCTTACACAGCTGCAAACGGGCGATGTGATTCTAACAAGGTACAATCTTCCTTCGCATAACCTAGTTTTCCATATTGGAGGTTAGACTTTGAATCATTTCTCCCCGATATAGATTAGAACGTCCCTTCTCTCTTTAAGGGCTCTTTTGGAGAGTAATCTAATGGGATTTTACATTTTTTTCACACGGCAAATCAACTTGATATAAACTCTAATGTTTTGATTATTCTTGTTAGGCAAATGCTCCGGTGGTATCAATTGATGGACATGAGGATGTACCTAAAAATGACGAGAAAGCACTAATGAAAGCAGTAGCACACCAGCCTGTTTCTGTTGCCATTGATGCTGGAGATCCTGATTTTCAGTTCTATTCGGAGGTAAACACAGAATAAAACAACATAAACGTATTCTTGATACTTGAAGGAACATAATCAGATAGAGAAAAATGGCCTTTAAGAACAAATTCTTCAACTTGAAGAACGCAATTCAATCTTAGAACTCAAATGTAAAGATGGGACAGAATCTTGAAAATTAAAAGATATTTGATCAAAGAATTCAAATATGAAAATGGTTTTTCTGTATGGTGTAACAGGGGGTTTTTACCGGAAAATGTGGAACGGAGTTGGATCATGGGGTAGCAGCTGTCGGATATGGTGTAACTCTAGATGGAACCAAATATTGGATCGTGAAGAATTCATGGGGAGCCGAATGGGGAGAGAAGGGATACATTAGGATGCAAAGAGGAATATCTGATAAGAGAGGACTCTGTGGCATAGCAATGGAAGCTTCTTATCCTATCAAGAATTCTGCTCTCAACCCCAAACCATCTCCTACATCATCTCCAAGAGATGAACTCTAAATTAGAAAGTTCCCCACACACACACACATAAATAGAAAATACTTAGTGTTTGCTCTCCTAAAATTTTACATTTTCTTGCTTAAACATTGTGAATGTATCTTGATGGAAACCTACTATTTCTATGATGTAATAAATATTTCTTTTCCTTTCTCTCTGCAAAATTCAAGATTTCAATTGCATAAGCATAGATGAGTTACAAATTCTTGAAGGAACACACAATAATCCATTTAAAAGCAAATAAAGATCATCAGACAACATGAATCTGGTTTTTATTGTAATATGTTTATGCTATAAGTACTTTATCATCCATAGCACCTGATGGGGTCGTTGCATCCCTTTGCAGCGCTCTGTTTAGAACCCGCAAGTTCACCCTTTTCCAGATACTGCTGATGGTACTCTTCTGCTCTGTAGAATTTCTTGGCTGGAAGAATTTCGGTCACAATCTTATCTTTATAAGACTTCTGCACTTCATCCAACGATTCCTTTGCTAAACGAGCTTGATCCTCACTGTAATAGTATATCCCTGATCGATACTGGGTACCCACATCGCCACGCTGGAACAAGAACACGTTATCCAGGAAAAAAGTTAGGAATTAGTCGAAGAAGATTGAGCATTGTACACAAATAGGATTTTAACACACACAAAGAAAGGTGGAGCTTTCAAGGATTCAACTGGTTCCTTCTTCAAGTTCGGCTCAACTCCTTTTAGTTTTCGATCTCAAAATATTTAGATTTTAGTAATTTTGTGGTTAAAACGTGTAAAGATTGCCGAACACCCTGATGATTATCCACCTATAAGGTTTCCACATGTGCATGAAATTTATGCATGTACATAAAAACCAGGAAATAATTTGAATCATTTTTATGCACAGGAGCATACCAGAATGATTATTAGGTTTTACTCGGTTTTCCATTTTTTGTGATTTTCACCTTAATCTGAGTCATGATTCCAATACCTCTTAGTTCATTTCCATATGAAAAGCCTATTTTTACAAACGTTCTTGTTATAACACCAAAATAATTCGTTGCCATGACCAATTCAAGGTTTTTTAACCTAAACAAGCAATCATAATCAGCAATCCAGTTGATCGTAACAATTTTAACCCAAAATCTAAGAACATGATCATCTTCCAATTGAATTCACAAACACCACTCGAGTTCTTAGTGACAATTTTTGAATCAAGAACATGATTATAATCCGATCAAATTTACAAAGTACACAGAGATGAAAACGGAATACCTGACGATTGAGTGTAGTAGGATCATGGCGGGACCAAAAGAGAGCGAGTAGGTTGGTGTATGCACAAACAGACCGGTCGAACTGGACCCGAACAACCTCGGCATGGTTGGTGGTTCCGGTGCAGACCAATTTGTAGTCAGGATTATGAACGTGACCTTGAGTGTAGCCAACTTCAGTTTTGACGACACCTTCGAGACGCTGGAAGGCCAGCTCCACTCCCCAGAAGCATCCAGCTGCGAATTCAGCCAATTCGTGCCCCAAATTGTCCGGAGAATCCGTATCCGGATTCAATGCAGGGTTCTTGGTTTCATCGGAAGCCATTTTTCTGTTGGACGAAGGAATCTGTGCCGCTGATGTGCGATTTCTACTTCCACAGTTGACGCTTCCCATGGCCTGTATTTGCCTATTTCGGTCAAGAGTCAACTTGGTCGTGGATTAATTTACAAAACTTATCCTTGAAATATTTTAAGTTTACATTTTTAGTCCTTATGAGTTACTGTTATTCATTTTCTCTCTTAAAATATGATTATCTTAATATTGAGATCTCTAGCATGTTAAAAATGGCATTTTCTACGTATATCAGATTCTTCGAGAGCATCCAATTGTCGATCGGTGATCAGTATTATTGGATTGTATAAAAGAGCAGGCACTCGGTACAACATTTTTGTCAGTCGTCACTTTTAACAAAAACAAGAAAACAAAAATTGGTACCAAACATTCAAATTGCTTATAGAAACCAACCAAAACCCAACTTTTTAAATTAAAGGAAAAATATATATCAAATCTAAAGAGCGTTTACTAAACACTTACATTGGTAAGCGTTTGTCAGTTTAGTTATCTTGTCAGATGAACATAACAAGGTCTGAGAATCTTATCGGGTAAGAAGAAAGACAAAGATTTAGAGTCTTACCTGCCCGGTAAACACTTATCGGGTTTAAAACATTTACTAACAATCCATTTTGATGATCGGAAATGTTACATAAAAGTTAAGATGATCTCTTTTATAAGTAAAGTTACTGGATAAGCGTTTGATAAACGAGTAATAAATCTAAATCGAGAATGTGATTTGAAAAGTGAATTGATATATGATCTTGAACCCATGATCCATAGAAGTCGGACGGTAACCCGTAAAAGAATTTGGGCCAGAATAAAGCCCATACTCTTGAAAAGGGCTATTGGTTCTTGGCCCACTTTGAGAAACATTTCTCTTATTTTATTAAAAGCAAATTACGTTTTTAGTCCATGTGGTTTGTTGAAATTTTCTATTTTGATCTTTATGGTTTTAAAATTACGATTTTCATCCTTATATTTATAATTCATTATCTTTTTTATTCTTATAATTTAAAATTTATTGTATTTTTCATCCTCATTATTTACAATTCATTTATATTTTAGTTTTTCATACTTAAAAGTAGTGTGTTGGTTTTAGGAACGAAAATAAAAATGAATTACAAATCATAGGGATGAAAATCGTAATTTTAAAACCATAGAAACGAAATCCGCAATTTTTAATAAACCATATGGACGAATAACGTAGTTTACTCTTTTATTAATAATACGTTAGTCTATGCTAACATTGTTAAATTTTGACTATAAGAGGTTGAATGATATGTTAGGGGAAAACGTTTAATGGGTAAAGTGTTTATCGGCAAAAGTCACTATTCTTACTTACCTTATTGGATAACATCCCGTTCATCAAAATAGATCGTTGGTAAACTCCTTTTACCTTATAAAGTCTTATCAGTTCGAGTAACTTAGTTGTCATTACTATGCCTCTTATCAGGTAAGATTTCCGAACTTTGTCATGTTAATTCGGTAAACATATGATAAACGGCCTCTAAACATGTTTATAAAACCACACGTATTATCAAACGATATGAAGCTTATTTTTCATTAATATTTTCATCTAATTATAAATAAATGTAACATTTGGTTAACTTATCAGACATATAAGGAACTTGATTTGGTAAAGATTAATGGACAGGAGATTAGATAAATGATAAACAAACTTATTATGTGTTCGAACGTTTTGTCAATGACTGCTTAAATGTTTTTTTCGTTATTCTCATATTGACTTTAAATTATGAAAAAATTTGGTCAACATCTTTGATGGTTTGACCATGATCCAGTCAAGAATGCAACATGACTATTATCTACATGTATCTTTGTATACGTCATTAACAGATAAATATAACGTGTTTTTATATTCATCTATTAAGTTGCATCTCCTTCTCGTACTTGTTATCTCCTCTTCATGCTTGTTTTTTAAATAATATAAGGAGACATATTTTACAAACTCAGTCATTAGTACACACCAATTAATTGAGATATTTATAAAAATGATGAGTGTTTGTATATTATGATTTGGATATTTATAGAAGATTATCATAGTTCATTTATTTTGATCAACACTTGTACCACAAAATAATCAAAATATTCATTATACTAATTGAACGGTTGAAATTGATTTCTATACTTTGTACTAATGTTTGTGATTGTAAATGAAACCACACACACACACATATATATATATATATATATATGAAGGATCATGCGATAAGTTAAACATCTTGCGAGAAGTTTCAATATCATTCATATTTAGACTCTTTTGGGTGTGTTTAATCATATATGATTAAGTTTGTGTATCATGCATGTAATCATATATGATATTGAAACTTCTCGTTTTTTCGCAAAATCTTAGCTTTTCGTTTGAACCTGCCCCTATGTATAGAAAGAGAGAGATTTGAGTTCATACAAGAACAATAATTAAATAAGAGAACACAAAATAACAGCCAAATCACATATGATTTATTGCGGCCAAGTCGTCTGTGTTCTATAATCACACGTGATTCACATGTGGTTTAACCTTTTTCTTATTCTTTTATTTTGAATACTTTCTCGTTTGATCCTCTACACATACACACACGTGTGTGTGTGTGTGTGTGTATAAGGGACATTTTATTTACAAACCATCTAATTCTAACAAATTATACAAACCATAATCAAATACTTACATTAGTAACCAATAGATATTTATGAACAGTTATCATGATTAGTTAATTACAGTTAACATATGAATGGAAGATGATAAGGTTCATTTATTATGATCATATGACTTTAAATTAGAAAACAAAATGAAATCAAATATTTATTAGACCATGAAATCTTAAACTTGGTTAAGGGGCCGTTTATCAAATGCTTACTCGGGTAAGCGCTTATCAAGTCACATTCCCTTACCGGATGAATATGACAAGGACCAAGAATCTTACCTGGTAAGAGCGAAGTCACGAACCGAGAGTCTTACCCCGCAAGTGATGGCGACGACTCTTACCACGGTTAGCGCTTACCGGATAAATTATTACATACGATGTTGTTTGGTAGACTAAAATCTTACTCGAAAAATAAGTAAGGGATAGAGTTGAAATTTACCGTTAAGCGTTTAACGGGTAAGTGTTTAAGTAAACGGCCCTTAAGTTCTTAATAACTTCTCTTATGTTATTGTATATACTAGGTTTAATGTCTATATGAGAGTAGCACACATTTGATTCAAATTGATGACTCCATTGAATATGCAAAATAGTAGATGCAATGAAAATCATAGAGACAACGCTAACGTGCACTCAATCGTTGGTTTCTGCAAGCCTGTAATGTTTGAAGTGGTTGTACTTTTAAGTGAAAAATCACTACACGAGATGCCACCACTAAGATCTACCTTTCATGAAGATGGCGTAAAATTCATGCTGATACCTGGATGTTTTAAATATGAAATCACATTTTGTCCAGCATAATGTTTCATGTTGCATGTGCTTCTAAATTATAGTAAATTGACCTGATTTTCATGCACAGTCCTGGATGGAATATGAGTTTCCTGAAAGAACGGTACCAGTCTGCCCAATTCATTTGCTTCCCTTTTACTATCCATCTTTTTGGACATAGTTTTTTTTGGTATTCTTACCATATTTTTCCTTTGTAAATGATTGAGTTTTACTTTCGAGTTTGTTCATTTAATTACAAGTAGCAAAAATTATAAACCACTAATGTATAAGTCAGTAATTAAAAGTTAAGAACAATCAATCTTATGAGTTTGAAAACTCCGTTATCTAGCAATTTCATTTCAAAATCTACGACCAATCAATTATCATCTAATTTGAGACGTAAAACCAAATAGAACCTTTGACGCGGCCTACTAAGTCGTATAACACGTCGTCCGCACATCACAAGGTTCCCTCACGCGTATTATCACATGTGATAAGGATGTTCTCACATTCTCATAAAATGAATGTGTTCTCACCTCCATGTATATGTATATGTATATGTATATGTATATGTATATGTATATGTATATGTGTGTGTATATGTGTGTGTAAAAATTATGGATTGGAAATACGTAACCAAAAAGTCAAAGGCCGTGATGAGAATGGATTAAGAATGTCTTTTGCTTGAAAGCAACTTGATTATGATACTAATTGAAATGGTTGATACGTTAAAGCCTGGCATTAATCCAGATTAACTCAAATCCAAATATACTAATTATTTAATTAATTAATTAATGGAGTCTTTATTTGAAAGCAAACACATTGCCCTACTCGTTCATTTACGTGATGTTCATTCCTATCAAAATATCTTATTTTATTTCATTTTTTATAAATTATATTTGATTTTTAGTTGATCACATTAATGGGTATAACTCTTTTGCCACATATATTTAAAACAAACATATTCCATATTTATGGGAAATTGACTTTAAGAGTTGATAACGACATCAGAAAATTCAGATTCAGTCGTTTTTCTTTATTATCAGTTATTTTTTTGTTAATGTTATTCGTCTTGTATTTTTTTTATGAAACGATTTTATGTTGTATGGTGTTTTATTATTTAAATATCAAATTTATTTATTTTGTTTTTATATAAAAAAATAAATAATAGGAAATGAAATTTTGATAAATAAAGACAATCACATTTATGATGAATATTCAATTATAGTAATAAACTGTATTTCTATTAAATTAAAAATTAATTAAAATCTATAGTATGAGTTAAGGGTCGTTTACCAAACATCCGGTAAGTGTTTATCGGTAAAATTCAACACTATCACTTTTCTTACCCGGTAAGATTTTGGTCCACCAAAACGGCATTGGTTACAATAATTTACCTGGTTAATGCTAACCGTGGTAAGAGTCATTGTCCTCACTTATCGGATAAGACTCTCGGTCTTTGCCTCGCTTTTACCGGGTAAGATTCTTGGTCCTTGTCATATTCATTCGGTAAGATAATCTGACTTAGTAAGCACTTACCCAGGTAAGTATTTGATAAACAGCCCGATTTAAAAAATATCTATTGGTTGGCATAATTTATAACTTGATTAGTGTGGATGGCCTAATCCCTTTTTGCATTGTCCATACCTACTAGTTTGGAGGCTGCTTTTAAGAGTATGAAATAATAGAATTTGATTAGTTTGTGATTTTAATTATATGTTAATTATTTGATTCTTTTAAAAATAATTATTCTACCAAAATAATCATGTTAACTAGGGGTGTTCATGAATTGAGTTAATCGAATTGAAGACATTTGAACAACTCAATCCAATGTTTACGGTATGAAAAATATTAAACCAACTCAATTCAAACCAAAGTGCAACCCAACCCAACCCAAACTGTACGGGTTGGTCGGGTTGATACTTTAATATACTAAAATATTCTTCTAAACTTGAATATGTTATTTCTTTACTCATAATTTTTTTTCATCTTCAACCATTTGATACAACTTATCCATATTTCTTACATACATCACATTCAGTTAATTTTCCCAATTTACATTTATATGTTCACAGTTACTGAACATATATACAAATGAGTTGTATAGATAGGTAAATAGATTGAAAATATGTGTATATGAAGAGCGTACGTGATAGTGTAATTGTCTAATGTATATATTAATAGAAATTCCAACAATGATATGTGTATATGAAAAACGTACGTGATAATTTACGTCTTCAAATTTGGTTTATTTATAATACATATTTTTGACATCTTTTAAATACTTAATTTAAACAGCAAAAATCATAACATTCAATTATTAAACAACTTTAAAAAAGCGTTTATTAATAATACCGACCATCCATGACCTTTCATTACAAAGGATCCTTCCTTTCTAAGCCCATTCACCACCTAACAACCCACTAATTTTATTAACTAAAAACAGAAAAGAATACAAATATATATATATATATATATGTATGTATATGTATGTATAATTATATGGTATCCGCTGACCCAACATATACAAGCACATGCTTTTACCAAATTCTTTTGAAAAACAAAAACAAAAAGAATCAAACAATTACTTTTCTTTTTTAATTAATTAATTAACAAACTAAACTTTTGTTGTAGCAAATGGCAGAATCATGATTACCATTGACTTGTCCACATGATGGTGTCTCATTCCTTCCTCTTTCTCTTGGACAATAACAATGATGACGTGGCTTTAGCCATTTCCACCTTTTTAACCAACATCTTCCATCTCACCTCTTCCCACTTGTTTTTCATTTCTTCTCCACCTTTCATCTTGAATCGTCTGCAACATCAAATTACTTCATTAACCCTCAACCTAATCACCATTATTTGTTATCCTCTAACACCATATATACCCCTAACCTACTTCATTTAAAACTATATTTGAAGGTTTATTGACTTTAAACGCCAAACCAAATGAACCCAATAAATGGTTTAGGGGCTGTTTACCAAACGTTTATTCAGATAAGCGTTTACCAAGTCACATTATCTAACCGGATGAATACGGTAAGAATCAAAAATCTTATCCGGTAATAACGATACAAGAACCAAGAGTCTTACCCGATAAGTGAGAGCGACGACTCTTACCATGATAAGCGATTACCAGATAAATTGTTGCATGCAATGTCATTTTCGTGAACTAAAATCTTACCCGATAAGTAAATCATAATTTCAAATTTTATAGGTAAACACTTAGCGGGTAAATATTTGGTAAACAACCCCTAATTTTCTTGAAAACTTTCGTCTCTAAAAATAGTTGAGGATAAGGATTTTTCCAACCAGAATTCTAAAAGTTTGACAATAGTTTAAAGTTCATTGAACGTATCCGTTTAAATTGGATCTCATTCAGACACAACTAAGCTACTTTTACATTAATGCTTTTCTCATCCAATATTATTGCACCAATTTCCTACCTAACTCTTCACACGTGAAAAACCATTCTTCTAGAACCCAATCAAGATACTTGGATGGGGTCAAAATCAAATCTACTCCACCCATGACAATGATGGTGTTACCTAACCAGGCTGAATCGGTAAACCCCATTTCGTAAAAATAGGATTCTTGAAGGTAAGATGCAGACATCTAAGTAATATGTTGTAAGTTAAAAGATTAAATGAAATCTTGGTTACCTGCAAAGGGGAACTTTACAAGTAGAATCTGGTAACTCGCAGATGGAAGCATGGAGTTTGAAGAGTTGCCACATCCTTTTGCACCGAACACACCCTCCATTCACTCTCTTCTTACAGTTTGCGAAATGCTGGATTGAGAGTTGGAGGCCTTGGCAAGTTGAGAACTTGCTACAAGGAGCCTTGTTCTTGCTGGGTTCTTTGTCATATGGTCCCACACTTATGCAACCTTCAGTACATATATGCTCCAAACACTCCATAGCTTCACTCAGCTCGAAATACAACCTCTGTTCTTTCCTATGCTTCCTGCTCCTCTTCTTCCTCTGCACATTTAAATTCCAATCAGCACTTACTCACAATTCAATTCACGCAACTGTCGTTTGGTAATGTTCAAATGAAAACGAAAAGGTGTACGCACTGATTCTGTTTCATCTATGAATTGGAGGATGTCTAGCTCAAGGAAAGGGTCATTGTTTTGAAGGAACTTCCAGCCTTCAGTTTCCTCAACGGCCTTGAAACTATTGGACACGAGTTTCATACATTTGAGGTAAAGATCAGGTGCGTCACAGAGTCTGGCCAGTTGAAGCACATCAACCACGTTTTCAATCGTCAACCGTTCAATCAAGGCTTTGGTACATCGGGATTTCAGTTGTGGGACCAGATATACATGGGACAGGGCCAACAGATGAATACCGTATTTCTCCATATCTTTCTCCATGCACCTGTTACAGATGGACATTTATTGGTCATTTATTTGTCCCCCTTCTTTTTAAAAATTAAAAGTAGCCGACGGCCTTGATTTTTTGGCAAAATCACCATCACCGGCGGTGCAGGACTAATTATCAGTGCTAAATATCAACGGTGAGTGGTGCCAGATGTGCCACATTGAACTCATAGAATGGTTGGACGGTGCAGATGTTTTTGGATGAATATTTTATTAATTCTACCGGTAGCAATTAAATCTTCCAAATGAATAAGATAATGATTATAATAAACGAATAAATGGTGGCTTGTTGTTAGGAACTGACTTGTGCGAATAAAGGAATCCGACGAAGACCTCGACGGCGTCACATGGAACGCCGAGGATCGGAATAGTCTTCTCGGAGCTTCGATGCTTTTGCGGCCTATCAATCATGCTTTCCAACACCGTCGAAGCAGATGCCTGAATCCACATATCAAACAAAGCACAAATATCTTAGAGTCCTTGAATCTGACTATTCGAACGTTTACAGTATACAATCAATTGATTCAGCTTGAAATTTCTAATAGACGTTGAAAATGCATCCCAGCACCGTGAAGAATGAAGATCTGAAAATCAAATCTCCAATCTACCGGAAAACCGGAACTACTCCCTATTACAGGGTTTAAATAAGAGGTTTTTCCAATAAAATGGCGTATTCGTTTTCACAGATGAAGAACTTTGATTTTTATTAAGTTTCAGGTGGAAGAACATTTCAAATCTTCCATGAAGTGACCAATTAATTACCAGAATATTAGCGTGCGCCGGAATCCTTCGACCACCAGACGTTACAATCTGAACATAGGTGTCCGTGCAGTCACCGGAGACATTGTCGGATTCTGTAGGAGATGCCGGTCTTCTACACATGTTGACGGAAAATATTAACGGCGAAGATGTTCGTTATAATAATTAACTTCGTATCCTGATCGAGATAAACGGAGAAATTTTGCCGATGGATCATCTCACGTTAGGGTGTCTGAATATATAGACAGCTCAAAGCCATCCAAGATGGAAGAGAGTACACTACAATTTTTGTCCTTTGACTATTCACTAATGTGCAATTTTAGTCCTTATTATTTGCTTCTTTGGTCAAAATCGACGATTTGAGGACCAAAAAATAACAAAATAATCAATCAAAAAGAAAAACAAAACTTCAAAGGACTAAATTTGCAAATTGATAAATAGTTTAGGGACCGAAATTTATACTTTTAAAACTATTTTTTGGAAGAGCATGCAGCGTACCATTTACCAATAAATTCAGGGCCACCACACTCTCTAAGATGGAGTGTACAATAAAAATGAGACGAAATCACGACCGTTGATTTTAGGATGCAAGTGGGGTAGGGAGAAATCTGATGTGGCAAAAAGATCTAAACCAGCTCATCGGACGATTAAAAGCCAGAATAAAAGGAAAGGCGACCTTTGGAAGAAGGACCATTTTAAGTCTGACGTGGAAGTAAGGTGGTGGAAATTTGTCCACGTGTGATGCCATATCGATCTGATCTTCAATGAGGTGTAAATAATCATCACCACTTGTCATATGACGACGTGGAAAATAAATATTAATAATTAATAAATGCAAAAAACAAAAACAAAAACAAAAAAGGCGTCACCCCACAAATACCACTAGATATTTTTGTATGGTATTTCTAATATTTTGTTGGATATTTATTTGTGAATCATAATAATAATATCGATCCGGGGTCATTTACCAAATACTTATCCGATAAGTGTTTACTGTTAAAATTTAACATCATTATTTACTTAACGGGTAAGAATTTTAATCCACGAAAACGACATCGTATGCAACAATTTACCCGGTAAGCGATTACCGTGGTAAGAGTCGTCGCCCTCGCTTACCGGGTAAGACTCTTGGTCTTTGTCTCGTTCTTACCGGGTAAGATTTTTGGTTCATACCATATTCATCCGATAAGATAATGTGACTTGATATTCACTTACCCGAGTAAGCATTTGATAAACGACCCTTAAGTTATAAAATATTTGATGTTAATAAACGAATAATATTCTAAAACGTAAGATCCCAAAAACATAAAGCAACAAATATAAATTATAAATAACAAATAAAACTTTGTTAACAAATAGAATATTACAAATAATATTCTACTTGTGTTGTTTATCAAAGTTTAGTTTTTTGTTAAGTTGGTATACGATTAGGGCCATTAATCCAACTTTTTTAGAAGTATTAAGGTGATATTTGGTTTGTATAATGTTTTTGGATGGAATGAAATTTGTTAAAGAAATTTTACTTTAAAAGAATTTGAATGAAATGTTGTCAGGTTTGATCACATGTTTGATTGATAGACATTATAATGGAATTTGTTAAAAATTGGAATCTGTCTGTTTGGTTCATATAATGTAGCTTTGGAATTTGAATGAAATATTGATAAATGACCAAAATGCCCTTTTTTGAGAATTTTCTAATTTTTAAAACTAAAAATACTTTAATAAAATAATTCTTTAATATGTAATATAGTATAAAATACACAACCAAAATATAACCATAAGCCAAACAATGTTACTAAATCGCCAGTGGTTCAGATCGGTGGTAGTCGTCGGTGGTCGGCAGTGATTCAAATTGGTGGTGGTCCGTGGTGGTTCAGGTGGAGGTGGTTCAGATCGGCGGTGCCCGACGGTGATTCAAATCGGTAGTAGTTGGCGTTGGTGCAGATCGACGGTGGTCTATGATGGTTCAGATCGATGGTGCTTCAAATTGATGGTGGATCAGATCAGTAGTGGTTCAGATCGGCGGTGTCCGACTGTGGTTCAGATCGGTAGTGGTCGGCGGTGGTTCAGATCATCGTTGGACGTTGGTTCAGATCGGTGGTGGTCGGCGGTGATTTAGATTGGTGGTAGTCGACGGTGGTTCAGATGATAGTGGTCGGCGGTGATTCAGATCGACAGTGGTCGGAGGTGATCGATGATGGTCATATTGGGTTTTATGAGATTAGTGTATGTTGGGTTAAAGGCATATTTGATATTATGAAGATAGAGATTTCATTCCATCAAAATACCATATAGTTGCTAAGGAATGTTAAATTCATTTATTTGTCCGGATTAAAAAAATTGTTTAAGGGACAGGAAATCGATGGGTTTAAGGGAGGCAACAAGAGAGGATTAGATTATTTATTTGTAGTGCATTTTTTGTATTAATTTGTTTGACATGACTTAATGGAGAGTAATGAGAAGTCCTGGCTTATTCCGTATAGTCATTTTGGCTTAATCGCTTAACGATTATAAAACACTTATGTATGGTTGAATAAATAAGTCACTCAAACCATTAAACTCATTAAGCCGTACGTACTACCCCTTAGCCCTCTTTATACATCTCTAACCAAATATAGATCAAAGGCTCCAATTTTCAATCCAGCCTCAGTTGATTTGCTTGTCCATTTTCCCGAAGCTTCGATGAGATCGGGGAGAGATCGACTGTCAAATTTTAGATTATCTGGAAGGCATGAAATGTCGTGTTTCAGATCGACTTAACATAACAAAGACCAAACAAGCGTCGACATTAAAATTGTCAAATAAATTGAAATTAGACGAAACTAATTGGAAGGGATATTTTTAGGAAAAGGTTTAAATAATCCAACAAACACCACACAAAAGATGACAAAATAAGCTGTTGGTGTTTTTCACCATCATAACATGTTTGTGGGTCTTCTTAAGTGTCTGATTGTAACACATACAAATCAGCATGATCTTAATCACATCTTTGTAGCCCATGATTAATGAAGACAATAGACAATGTTATAAAAGGACACCTATGATGGGCCATGTAAAGCCCCAACTTTTGGGCCTTGATATAGAATAATTAATTATTCAGACAAAAGACTTATGTTGTGATTCAAGTAGTGATGGCCAAAAACCGGTCCCAAAATTTTCATAACCGGTCATAACTGGTTCCGGTTCTGCTCGAAAAGGTTGAGCCCGGTCAAGCTTTATTGTAACCGGTTATGAACCGCCGGTTCCGGTCTCGGTCCTTAAAAAATATTTTTTTTTAATGATAATAGGTTTTTAAAAAATAACTGGTTCCGGTTCCGGTCATAACAAGTGTTTAGCTTGATAATAGGGTCGAGAAGGAGGTCGTGTGACTGTTAATTTCATTTGTTTTTGGTTACTTTTTTGTTAGTTTGTTGCAGATTAATTTCATTTGTTTTTTTGTTACTTTTTTGTTAGTTTGTTGCAAATTTATTGTATTTGACTTGGTCAAATGTTAAGTCATTTGCCTTAAATTTAGGTTCAATATGTAAGACTTCCATTGTATGTTTTTGTTTTCATGTGATTATGTTATCAAGTCAAGTCGTTTTTATCTGATAAGGAAAACCACCAGTAGCAGTAACGATGTGACATGCCTATAGATAGATAATATGTGCCATATGTCATACTTCAAATCTAGCCTGGTAGATCTAATAATTTAAGGGACGAACTGCTCCAACATTTTGGTGTGAATTGAATACACTTGTGCGTATCTCGCAATATTTAAAAAGATATTGTGGTTAGTGATAATAAATACCCATACTAGAAAACACGGGTCCGCCACTTTATATGTCAAATATAAGTCGTCATTTAACCACAAAATTAAATATACTATTTTTTTACTGTAGTTATTTTAAAACAAAAACAACCATTTTTATATGAATTTTAAATTTAAATTCACGTTTTATATGATAAGTCTCAATTTTTCAATCCGCTTACTATGATTTAGATCAATTTAACATAACAAAGACCAAACAAGTATTCACATTTTTTTAATTAACCTGGATATTCAACTCGCTATGCGAGCCGATTAATCACAGGGCGACCACCTGCTTTGCAGATAGTCCAGAGTCACCGCATTTGAATCTCCGTGGCCACAAGAGGATTTTTATTCCTCCTTGGATTTGAATCTGAAACCTCTTGGTACTTTTGACCTTTGGAGTCAAAGTCAAACCAATCAGACACCACCCTTGTGGTTATCGACATTATTGATATACAACCAAAATTTGAATTAAAAGTAATTAAAATTATGAAATAATTTAAAGTTAAATGAAATTAATATCACAAATAAATTGTAAATGACATTTTTAACCAAGGTATCTTCCAGTAGATGTAGAATAATTTGATAAGTAATTTAAAAATAAAAAAGGACAAAATAAATTGTTGGTGTTTTCGTATTAAGTCCCACCATCATGACATTTTTATGGGTCCTCAAACAAATACAAATCATGTATGTTATTGTTGGTGCCAATTAATGAGATATTTGTAGTCGGCATAATATGTTGCCATTGGCCCATTAAGAACATAGACGGTCTTAGGAGTGTTCAAAAAACCGATCAACTCAACCACTCAGTCCAATTCAACGAGAGGTAATTTGACATATAGTTTAGGGATGGCAAAAAAGGAACCGAAACCGATGGTAAAAACCGAAACTTCCGGGCTGGGTTCGGGGACGGGGCGAGGATCGGGGATTTTAACGGAGGCAGGGACGCGATCACCGGCCCGGCCCGATATGTATATATACACATATATTAATTTTAATTTATATACATATATATATATATATATATATATATCATTAAAAGAAAATAGTAACATTAAAATTTAAAAGACTTTTATCCACTTTACCTAAACAACTCAAATAAAGCTCACAAAAAAGTTTTTTTTTTTCTAAAATCGTGATTTTAGCTGTATGATGTTTGAATTTCTGTTTAGTTCTATATTGTAATCTAATATATTGTTTGTAATTGGTTCGATTATGTTTGAGACATTTAAACTTACATCTTTAAAAAAATTGTAATTTACTTTTAATTGTGAAAATTAGCATATTGTAATTTTTTTCAGATCGGTTTAGTGTTCGTTTATAACCAACGGTGAAAAAGAGGATTTCTACCCTTAACGGGTTCCCCAACGGGGATCGGGGAAACCACGGGGACCCGATGGGGATCCTCGATA